TGGATTAGCCAAGACCTATCCAAATATTGCAGTGCCACAGCACTAGTGAAAATTTAAATTTGCAACTGGAATGCTTTCAGTTAACCGATGTTTCGGTTGATTGATATTCAGATAATTGATTCTCTACTATATTGGAATATGAAATCTCATGTAATGAAAGCGCTGCAAAATTACCTTATTCATTTCTACATTATTCCTATTAGCTTTTTCTATATACATTTAAGAGAGAATTTTAAATTTTATAAGAAATGATTAATGTGGTAAATAAAATTGTAAATGCTTATATTTTGATTCTACTAACAGCAAAATTGTAGTATGTAAAAATATTCATTGTATATAATTATGATCATTAAAAATATGACTGATCCTTGCATGTCAAAATGTTTACAAGTTCTATTAATCAAGACACTGCTATCAATGAAGGTGCAAATGTTGCTGATAGAGAGTTCAGTAGAGGGTTCTAATGTTCACTGTCATCTCCCATTAAAATAGAAGTTATAAACTTTTCTCTAGCAAAAAATTATCATCAGTCAATATCTATTAGCAGCTCATTATGGTATAAAGCAGTGTTTCTCAACCTCTAACGAATCGTCGTCCCCTTCAACGTAGTATTGCCCCCTTCACTTCAAAATTTCGATGCCGAGGGCCAAGACTAACACCAAATTCATACTGCATTGAATAGACTAGTGACTAGTATAATGTTATTTGTTTAATTATTGTATGATATAACGAATAAAATATCTAATTAGTCTTAATATGATGTTTACTATATCGCCCAGGAAATTGTTTTTCGCCCCCTAAAATATAAATTGTTACTAATCGCCCCCTCAACAAGGAAAAACGCCCACATGGGGGCGATATCGCCCCCGTTGAGAAACACTGGTATAAAGCAATGTAATGATGTCAATGAACAGCTTAACAAGTTGTATCATATGACACTCCTTCATAACAATGCCCAATCCCTTAAACAAAATATTTTTCAACTGCCAATCCATGAAAAAATTTCACTGGCTTGCAGAAAAATATTTGACTGTACTGATGCCAGCAATTGGTAACATTTAAATAGTATTCTAGACATATTATATGTAACAGATTAAGTGCAATATGTCTTGAATACATAACAAAGTAAGCACAGTAAGCCTATTTAAATGTCACCTATAATCAACTGCTGCATCAGTACAGTCAAATATTTTTCTGTGAGAAAGTGCTAGATAAGCATATATAAGCATAATTCACAGTCACATATAATTAATTACTGGTCCACATAAAATTATCAATAATTTTACAGGTCTACAACAAGAAAAAAATTGATAAACACTGCTTCAGCATAGCAAACAGAATCTACAAGCTTTCCATTGGATAATGTTGAAATATTGAAAAATCTAGCATGTAGTTGTAGTTTGAATTTGGCTTCCAACAATTTCTTGTCCTGAAGGAGCATTTGTTATGACTTTGTTTCATGTTAAATAAAAATATCAAATATAATGATGAACAGTGGTTCAAACAGCAGACATCCTACCCATCTGAGATGAACAACTCTTTGCATGTTATGACAAGTGCTTCAATTTTCAAGGTGATTATATTGAAAAGTAGTGTATGTTTGACACTTTTGATGCAAATTTCAGTTTCCTTTAATAAAATCATTTTATTTGTGAATACTGCATACTTTTTCCCGATTAACCTATGCATTAAAGATTTTTGTTAATCAACTGTTCATTTTTTAAAGTTGTTAGTATAAAACATCTAAGAGTTTATTTTCATTTACTTTATTATTTCAGATCTGATGATGAAATTAAAATGATTTTATAGATATTGATAAATTTAAATGAAAATGATCAAATAATGTAATTTCATTAATTATTGATTGTTAAAAATAGCTATTAGAAGATTAATGAATATTAAAAACCTATTTTTTACATATTTTATGTTGAAAATATATCCCTGTTTGCTATTTTTCATTCTACTGCTTTTAGAAAGAAAATCATAAACTTTTCAACTGTCATTTTAAAATACTTTTCTTATTATAACATTATTATATTTAAATCAGAGAAAAAAAATTAAATATTTATCTAACAGTTATTCTAAATTAAATTGTTTCAAAAATATTTAAGAAGTTTAAATCATATTAACTTGCATAAACCCTAAACCATATTTAAAAAAACATTTTCGGCAAAAATTTTAAACTGAAACTGCTTTTAATATATACTGTAGCTGTATAATTATCAGAACAATAATACAGATTACTTATTAAAAAAAATCACAAACACTTTCAGGTGATTAAATTTTATATTTTCTTTCTAAATGGATTGAAAACATGTTAAAGATAATTATAAGACAAAAGCTACAGAAATATTTCTATTTAAAATAGTTAATTTAAGTAAACATTTTAAAATAAATATTAAAAAAAAATACAAAATTTTTAATTTTATTGCAAATAATTTTTGTACTCATTTATTAGCATTTCAAATTCAGCTTAAATCAATCAATAAAACATTAATTATTTTTTGTTTAAAGAACTTTCAAAATACAAAGAACTAAATTTTTTGCTATTATATATTTTCTTTACATTTTAAATAGAAGTAATTTTTTAAAATTTTATAAAGAAAAAATTCTGTGGATATATTTTATATGTAGTACTAACTCAAAACCACAGATGACCTTACATGTAGGCAAAAAAGGTATTGCCTAGGGCTTTTAGAAAGCTTTGCACTTTCAGGGTTAATTAATTTAATAATCAAATTGGTAATTAGTGAAAATGTAATTGTGTCAATATCTGTTGCATCTTCAGAATGATAATTTTCAGAGTTAAAATTGATCAAGAACTACCTTTGATCAGCAATGTGTCAAGAGAGAATTTCTTCACTTTCAATCTTGCCCATTGAAAGAGATATTGCTGCAGAACTGGACTTTTTTCTGTAATTGGTGAATTCAGTGCTGAAAATCTATTGTATACATATTTATTACTTTATTATGTGTTTTACTGTCTGTTTCTATATTAAAAATGTTCAAATTTCTGTAGACATAAATAAAACTATCCTCTATCTTCATTGCTCTTTTAATAGGCTTCAGAAATAAATTTTACCTAGGGCCATCTCTACTTAAAAAACAATTTTAACAAGTCTAAAACATTAATAATGGTACTTATCTTGAATATAATCTGGTTGCACAAGCTTAATTAAATTTAATTTTAGCACTAACTTTAATTATAAATAATTTAAAGAAAATATAATTAATATTAAGAGAGACAGTAATCCACTCATTAACAGGAGGTAATTATTTCCTATTGTTTTTTATTTCAATTAGCATATAAAAAGTTGCTTATTTTGATGTGTTCTTCTCTTTAAATTACAGGTAAATTTATTGCTTTGAGAAAGCATATAATTATCAATGTACAGATTATTTTTCCCTATCTCAGACACCTATAAATATAATATCTTACTTAATTTTAATTTTCTTTTTATTTAACTTAGTTTCATTTTGAATGTAATAGAAATACTATGAAACATGAATATGAATATAAAATTTATTAAATAAAGTATTTCTCTGTCTAGTACAGTTATTTAATTCATTCTGTCTGATTATATATGAGACACACTCATTATCTTATTCTCTTATGAGACATCTTAAAAGAGAAGCCTTCTGTAATTCAAAACATAATCAATGATTTATGTTGACTAAAAAAACTCAAGGGATCAGTTCTTTCAAATCCATTACATTTAAATTTTGCTACATTTAAAATAAAGCTAAAATATTCACTATTTTAAAGATAAAACTCGGCTTACAAAGTCTACAACAGTTCATTAATTATATATTAAGATTCTAAATTACAATATACTCTGCTTTAGTAATACATATATTTTACTGAATATTTTAAACTTTGGAATCTGAAAAAAACAACTTAATCAAATGAAAAATCTTTTCACTATTGAATGAAAAAATTTTATGAAATTACAAAACTAGAAAAATTTGGAACAAAATCAATTGAACACAATTTTTTCCAAATTCTGATAAGAAATTTTCTACCATCAATTTTTAAAAATCCCACTGTTTTATAATATGTACTGGTTTATAGCATTTTAATACTTTTAATAATTTAAAAAATTAATTAAAATCTTTAAATGATAATAATAAAGTTTAAAAAGATTTATACCTAACATCTTTAAAATCAATTTATATAGGAAAAAATTATTCAGTGAAAGTGTCGCAGGATAAAAATTCTGGATTTTATCCAAAATAAATTTTTATTTAGTTTAACTTTCTTTTAAGATTAAAAAAAGAACTGAAAGTACCTTTGAGAATAACAATCTAATCTTTAATTTTTAAATTTAATATTAAAAATTGCTATTCATATTTAAGATTAAGCCATTAAGATATAGCCACTGTAAAATTTTCTCAATTTAATCTTCACTTCAAAGATTAATACACACTTTTAATTAAATCCTTTATTAATTTTAATAAAGCTAAATTTCTAACTTTTAGAAAAATACATATTAAAAATTTATGCTTAACTTGATTAATGACAAGGATTTGTAGAGATTAATTTATTATTGATGGGACTATTGCACAAGCATCTATATGAAATTTATTTTTCTCCAGAGGCTATATATATATTGCAACTAGGCTTTTTTCTTTAATAAAAAACTATTTATTATTATTTGATGAATAAAATATTTTATATAAGCATATACAGTACTATATATAATCATTTTATATGAAAAACCCCACAAAAATTAAATATTTAAAAATAGAGTTATAAAAAAAAGGACTATTTCTCATAATTATAAAAAAAATTTTTTAAGCTTTATTGTCTATAAATGCTGCAAAATGAATCTATTTGTAATATAATAAAGCTTCATAACTAATTTGATGCAAAGAAAAGCAAAAGTTTTAAATTTTCTTTAAAATATTTTAAATTCAAATATATTACATACAATAAGAATCAAAGATTTAAAATGACAACATATATATATCTAGATATAATTGATTTAACATAGCCTTACATGAAATTAAATATTTTCTTTTATGTATATATATAAATTTGAAGAGAGAAAACAATTATAATAAATTTACCTTTTGATGGATGAGCTGGTGCATCAATTAATTCACATGTGCTAAATCCAACTTCTTTTGATAATAGATATTCATTAAACTGCTCAGGTCTCATTTGTATCGACAAATAATTTTTAAAAGTAGTTTCCTGTTAATAAAATATTTAAAGTCAAAAAAAGTCTTTAAATCATGTTGCAATTCTTTAAAATTAAATATTTAATACAAGTAGATTGAATACAAATAAAAGGTTATGCATTAAATTATTTAAAATTGTTAATAAACAAAAACATCCAAAGCATAAATTCAGACTATATAAACCACATAACTTAATCCATCCAAAATAAAAATTAACATCAGGATGAGAAAATTGTTTTGGTCCCAGATGAGATTTCAATCAAATAGATAGTTCTTGTTTATCAATATATAAACAATTTTTTAAATCTAATCTATGTATAAATTATTTAAGTAAAACAAAAACAAAAAAAAAAAAAATTATATTAATTAAAAAGTAAAAGTAAATCCTAATATTTAAATATACCGTTAACTTCTTTTTGCGAACATAAGAAGGCCATGGTTGTGCTTCCAGAATCATTCTTCCTCCCGGTCGCAACTGAGCATACATCCTCCGGAAAACTCTTTTCACACCTTCGTCACCCCAATTTAAGTGTATCCATTTAGTAAGACTCAAACATAAGATAGTATCAAATTCGGGCCTTTGCATTTCCAAAAATTCATCTGATTCCAATACATAGTTTCCCTATTTTGAATAATTTAAAATCAAAATTTAATATCTCAAAAATTTAAATTTAAATAATTACAAAATCATATAATAACATTCATATATAAACTTCAAATATAGTTAAAATGAAATATTAATTTTCAGTTTTAACATAAATAATTCTTCTGAAATAGCAGTTTACCTTTGAAGAACATTTAAAATAAATATTTTAATACACCAATATTTAATGAGACAACCAATGGACAGTTTTAAAATGTAGGAAGAAACTAAACACTGTAAACATTTGAAAGCTGATATAAATATAAGGTAAAAAAATATTTTAGCATTCAAGCATGAAAAATTGCTTAATTACAGGAAAAAATAACAAAAGACTGTTAAGAGGAATGACCTTCAGAAGATTGATAGAACAGTATGGAAATAAATAATGCAACAAATAAGAAAATAATTATTTCTCTGAATAAACTTAAATATAAAATAAAAATTCATGCATATTACAGCACATTATATTAGAAGAAATAAAACTGCATTAAAAGAAAACAACCAAATTTTCTCTCTTTAAGTTTGTTTTTTTACACAAACATAAATAAATAATATAAATTTGTTTTATTTTAAATCTAATTTTGATAATTAAATCAATACAGAAGAAATATTGTTTAATTTTAAAATATTTAAACATGCTTTTTATTTTATTATTATATTTATTCACTAAGCACAGATATTTATTGTATTCTGAGAACATTTTAATTTTAAACAATCTAATATTTTTATAGTAAATTGTTTAAAAATATATATAGAATATATATATGTAATTATGAAATGTGAAACAATATAATTAATTTTCAAGATAGATGGGCTAAATATGAATTGAAATGATGTGATAAGAATAAGGGTAACTGGCTGAGGCCTATTTAAGGGTAAAGTAAGTACTTAGAACTGGAAAGGAAGGTCAAAATGAGTCATTCACTCTGCATATTTGTAATATTTTATCTACTTTAAAATTTAAAATGTTAAATGACTTCTTGAATATTAATACAACTATGTATCTCTAATAATTAGTCTAAGGAGCATATTATATTATCATCAAAATGTCCAATTAGGTTATTAATCTTGTCTGCACTTAATGATGCATAAAATAAATTTCTGTAATTAATTAAGTTTTAGGTATGCACTGACAACTTCTCTATTTTAATATGTTGCACCATAATAAATCATTTAAACACAATAAAATAATAATTAAAATGATGCAGCATGTAAGATGGTTATATCTATCTTCTAACTTTATTTTTATGACAACTTCAAAGTATATTTTGTTGAATTAATATTTTTTAAATTGTAATTTAATATCATGGTAATCAAAATATTAGCTCTTATTTAGCAGAATAATGGATTTTTAAAAAAATATACTTCAAATCATTGCAAGACGCTTAAAAATGAGCAACAGAAAAACTATTTCTCTAACATTTCTAGGACATTCATCACTGGAAACATTTTAGATTCTGTCTCCATGATGATGGACAAACGTTCTAAAAATATTAAATAAAAATTTATTACTACTTGTTACTAAATACATTGTAGTAAATTTAGAAGACACAGCTACCTAAATTTTTTTAATACATCTCTTTCAGTTTCAATTCTTTTCTAAATAATAATGAAGATAATATCATACTTCATTTTCTCCAAGAATATTTTTTAAATTTTGAAAATGATCAGTGCATATAAATAATTCAATATGCTAATATAAGCTTAAAAATAATTATATGAAATAATTTATAATAGTAATGATTTATTATTCTATAGTTTCATCTTTCATTGACTCTTATTAAATTAAACAGTCAAAACCTTAATAAGTTAAGCAGTCTGGTTTTTATTTGATAATACATTTTTTCAAGACTAAACTATTCAGCATCAGATCATATAAAAAAAAATATATATTATAAAGCCATTCTAAAGCTGTTGGTTAACATTTGATCTTATTCATTTCACAAAAAACTCAAAATCCACAGTTAGAATCCAAAAAATGAAGTTCAAATTTACACAAACATAATATTAATATAATAAAAACAACAATAAAAAAAATTATCATTTGCTAAAAAGCAAGAACTTTGATTACTAACCTGAAACAATAAATATACAAAACTTTAACCTGTGAGATGAGATTTACTTTTTTGTTAGTTAAACTATGAGGTTTGTATGGCTTTATGTAATTAATTTGTTTATCTCAGTTTTTAATTTCACTTAATTGATATTTTAATTTTTATCTTTTCATATGTTAATGTTATGTTTGTGTAAATTTGATTTGTTTTTTGGATTCTAACAGATTTGAGCTTTTATTGAACAAATAAAATTGAATGTTAACCAATAAATGGCTTTAGAATGGCTTTATGATATATTTAATTTAGAATTCCACTTGATTTGATCTGATGCTGAGACAGATTAGTCTCAAAACATTTTATGAAATAAAAACAAAACTCCTTAACTTCTTATTATTCTGTATTTTAAAACTTCTGCATATGAAATAGCAATTAAAGTCATTAATTCATATCAAAATAAAAAACAAATTTTACTTTGTCATATAAAATAGAAACTTCTCATTCATATCAATCAAAAAGACTAAATACACACATATTTTTTTAACAACTCATAATATTAAAATTTATAATCCTATTTTTGGTCTTCCTTAATGAAATCAACTTTTCACTAATAAGATATACTGTATGATACAGTTGAAAACCTTTAACGTTTAACTATTACTTTTTCAGCCAGTGGTGCACTCAGGATTTAGTCTTGGGAAAGTGAAGTTGAACAGATAAAATTTTCAATACGGATTGAACAAAATTCCCACCTTATGTAACTACTAATTCATTCATTAGTAGTATAGAAATTGAAGACATGGCACAATATAAATAACAAAAAAAAAAAAAATTTTAATTTGGAAAAGATTTTTGGAAAATTTTCTGGCATTTTTCCTTTTTCTTTGGGGAGTGCCAGGACTCTTTAGCTCCCCCTCTGGGTATGCCACTGTTTTCAGCTATAAAATATTGATTTTTTTATGATTAATGAAAAATAATGTATACAAAAAAAATTATTAAAAATATTTTTATACACAATTTTAAGCTAAATTATATTTTTTACAGTCTTTTTGATTGATATATTTGATTTATATCAATAAAGTATCATAAATTAGTAATGTAAATAGAGGTCTTTAATCAGAATGTAATGAATGTAAATTATATAGAAATATTTTCCAATTAAAAGCAATAATATTTGAAAGGAATGAACAGATACAGACCACAACCTTTTCATCATTATAATTGGATTAAATCACTATTTGCTTGTAATAAAATAATGAATACAATATACATATTTGTATTATATAATATTCTGTCATCAAATCAATACCTTTTATACTTTTCCAGTAAGAGGTTTAAGATATAAATGAACAAATGTTTTTGGTTTATTTCATAAATATAGGTAATCAAGTCACCATTATTTGATAACATTAATAAATGAGTTTACATATGTCTAATCCAATGGTTCTTAACCAGTGCTCCACAAACCTACCTCAAGTGTTCCACAAAAGAAAAGATTTTAAAGTTTTTATTCAAATTTATTCCCATTGCTATTCATAGATAATTTCATGTTTCTATTTTATTCAATATATTAAAGTTTATTAGTTTATTGCTTCGTTGTTTCTTGAGAATAATAAGCATAGAACTGATTATCAATTTTTGAATGTATTGATGCTAGTGCTCCATGTAATAAAAAGTATATAAATGGTGTTCCACAAATTCAGAAAGGTTGAGAACCACTGGTCTAATCTCTCAAAAATTAGGTGAAGGCTGTAGATTCAAATCCATTCAATTTGTGTATGAATACATAGAGCTGTACTAGAGAATTATGGGTCATGATGCTAAGGCCCTCTAGGTTTCTTCTCTACCTTGGTTTATCACATTACTTTGTTCTCTTTTTATGCACTTTTAATATAGCACAAATTGATTTTCTAAACTTTGTTTAAAAATTAAAAATTTTATTTTAGGTTCTGGTTTCAGCCCTTATAATTGGCAAGGACCCAGGACTACAGCTCCAAGTTTCCCACTTGTTGGACCAATATGCATAGTAGTATCTGCTTATGGTAATCAATTTGGAACTTCCCAATACTGATGATAATAGCTGGCTACTTTATGCAAATTAAGTAAATAACACTACAATTAGCAGATATTTTGGATTTATTGATTCTGACATTAAAAGGACATGTTCAAGCAATAAAAAAAAAAAAAAAATGAGCAACTTGAAAATTTAATTATAATCAATGCTCTTTTTCTAAAAAAACTAATATTAATATACATATATAGTGACTGAACATACAATATTGTTTTTACTGAGCAACTGCCATATCGTGGCTGAAAAATAGCCGATTGTAATAATTATTTTTAACTAATAATAATTCATTCAACATATAGTTGAAGTAACAAATGCCAATAATTTAAACTATTGTATTACAAGCAATAAACATTTAACTTCTAAAGCACTTATTAAGACTATTAACAATTGCACATTATCAGCCAAATTTTGAAGTTGACAATGCAAAAAAAAGCTTAAAAAGTGCCTATTTACCTGAAGATAAAACCAACTATAACCAAGTTCTGATTACAATAAGTGTAGTTTTATAAATAGAGTGTTGATTACCCAAAATAATCAGGGTGAGACATTTTGGATAACTAATACACTTGGTAAGAAAAGAATAAGAAAGATAAATACTGTATCTTAAAATCAGAAATTTTGCTAAAAAATATTCTCTCAAAAATATCTTAAAATTAAATGCATTTCAGTTATACTATTAATGATTATAATAATAATAATTTATTTTACTTTGTTCATTCTTTAGAAAAACTATTCCC